GACAGCGGGCTACAAAACGGATATATTTAAGCAGCATAGACTCTACAGTGGTGTGAACTTAGGGTTGTCATTCGTGCTATCCATCAGGTGTAAGTTGTCAGATAGTATTGTCTTTCTTTGGCTCACATGATCTGCTCCGTGTGACAGAACAGTGAAATATATCTGAGTATGTGGCTCATCAGTATGGTATCGTGCGACTCATTGGCTTTCATTTGACAAACAATATGAGTGGAACATAAAATCGCTTCTAAATTCGAATTCCGACAGGAATTCTTTTAGAAGTCTATTACTCAACTTTGTAAGAGTCCTGGTGATTCGTATCCTTATCTGTCACTACGGCACGTCCAGCTAGGGCGTAAACGAAGCTGAGAACCACCATTTCAATCGGATACACACGTAGAGGCGATTAAAAATGTCTAATATGCTCAGTTTTATCTCTTTCTTTATCATAGGCCTATAGCGAGTGAAGCAGGATTCACCATCAGCGAGAACTTTGTAGGCCATGGGATTGGCCGAGAATTTCACACGCCACCAAATGTACTACACCACAAGAATAGAGAAAGTAAAATGGAAATGAAGGTGGGCATGGTCTTCACTATCGAACCCATACTATGCGAGGGATCACCTGAGATGTCCATCTTGGAGGATGGCTGGACGGCTATCAGTAGGGACGGGGGACGATCTGCACAGTTCGAACACACGGTGGCTATAACAGAAAATGGGGTTGAAGTGCTAACCCTCAATCATAAATAATGAGTAGCGTACTACATGAAGTATGAAAAATGAAATATTTCGGTTTGTGTTATATGTTCTGTCATATGTACATTCCGTTGACAATGAACCCGTTTCCGCGACCTGCAGCCACAATTGTAAAAATCGCTTGGAATACCAACTTATGCAAATTCATCTTTTGAATCAAAATTTGCTACTCCCTCTCTAAGCAGCTGAATCTATAGAAGCGGTACGTTATTCAGCTATATTGTATGCACACTACTGACTCCGGACGCAAATCATTCCTCCATCACATTTTGTCATCTCCTAATTTTGTAGTGTCACCAGAATAAGATGATCGCGACTTGAATTTATGACTGGTATTGTACGTTTTCCCTTGTCATCCCCACCGTTCAGTACCATCGCAAAATGGTCGGACGTAGCGATGCACGACATTATAAGATAAAGCCGGATTTGACATTCAACAGTGCTTGAGGCACAAGTTGCGCTATCAGGCGTAATTAATGACTTAATATGATATGTTATATTTTGTATAGAGATGGACGACTACTTGGTTAGCAATATATGAAGTTTGAATATATTAAAGAATAGCACGTAGGGCGAGGCTTAGTACTCGGGGCCCAGCTAGCCATTTCAACACTATACGATGCCGAGAAAGAGGCACTTTCGATAAGGCGTGATATTTGTACCTCACGTGACATCGAACCTTCGTGAAACCACAAGATAAATTACCATTGTAGAATTTGCGGATGTGAGAGTATTTATTCTTCGCCCTAGGAGCAAAGTGCGGCCACGGAGAAGTGAGCAGGATTTCTAACACCACATAAATCTGAAATCCATCGACCCCAGATTTACTTCCGATTTACGATTGGCGAATACGGCCCAGGTGTGCGATGTCGTGGCATTCAGGTTTTATGTGTTCGTAGTTACGAGGTACACATTGCCCTTTGTTGACACGAGTACTTCTACGTGTTGCACCTTGTCATACTACCTTGCTTACGACTTGGTTATAAACCCGCTGCAGCGAAGACTTATGCAGTGCGCACTTGTCATCGTTGCGTGCTATAGTTTGGATAGTAGAGACAACACACAAACGTCAGTGAAATAGCTGTCAAATGCTGGACAAGTAAGGACGAGAAAAAGGGTCTTCACGGATACATGGAATCTGTTTGGAGTCGGATTTATGCTTCTATTAATTACAAAACCGCTCTAGTGTTCTTTTCCGGGTATCGTACCACGCACAATGTGCATGTTGTTGGCATACAGTTCACTATGTGAAGTTTAACAATGAAGGAGTGGTTACTTTTTCCGTCGAACACAAAGGTATGTCTAGATATAGAAATACACGAACTTTGAGACGTTTTGTCGCGCCTACAATTTTTTTTTTCCGAACTCTTGCGCCCGTACATGCTGCCGGAATTTTAACATACCGATTTCACGAAGTACGGCCATGATTTGGTCAATACGCGCTTGTTGAATGTCGAGACTGACAGAGGCTACTTCGCCACAATGTCGCATGACATCCTCAGCGATGTTCTCGAGCACGGCAACCGTTTCTTTCATGGCTTCTGCGATTTATCCCCATTCCGATTCATTAAAATCACAAAGAGCACACACACACAAGCAAACTTCATTGTCGCTTTGCTGAGCGAAGGTCAAATGTTTGTGAAGTTATCAATTATCATCTGAGTGCACACACATTCATGAAATGTCGTGCAGTGTGCATCCCAAACCATGGGTCTTTAACAAACCATGGGTCTATAAACCTCTCCCAAACCACGAGTTTATGACCCGTGGGTTGAGGAAGGGTTTGGACTAATTGAACATCTTCTCTTGATTGTAGGAACGTACAGCTCGGCATATGTACTAATTCAGACTCAGCTACAAGCCTTTGAACGTTTCCGTACAGAAATCGGGTCATATGTTAAAGTCTCAAGTCCGAAGAGCTGCAAGCCTAAACACAACTGGGAATTTTTCTCTGCTATTTTATATAGACCTGTCACATGTAGTGAAGTGTATACCTGAGCTGCTAAAAAAATCTGTCATAACTACGCGCACGCAATTACAATATTGAAGAAATACACTAGCCAATGATTGTGTTTTCTACTACACTCAATTTAAATGACAATGAATATGCCTTCAATTCTAGCTTCGCGATCTCACCTTCAATTCTAGCTTTGCGATCTTCTCTAAGCTGGTCTAACGCCCGGCTCACACGTGTGACCTTGTCGTGCAGAGTAACCTTGGGATCCTTCATGTATGCCTGCAGTTCGTCCAGTTCAATGGCATCCTCTGTACCGGTGTACATGTCGCTGTGACTTAGATATCGATCTAGCCACATTCACACGGGGACTTTCTACTGGGTATGGTTTACCGGAGTGTTCTAAGATGCTCACAGTACATGCCTGATTTTACATACCACGCAAAATTGCAAGATACACGCTCTACTCAGTTCTTTAATTGCCTGCAAAATAATCTACTAGTGCTATGTCGTACTCCAGATGGAGATCAGGTTATGTCTCAAGACTGTAAAACTGGGACGTACCTTCAAAAAGTCTTCGTGAAATAGACAACAGCACATTTGTCGTATATTGATTGCCCCTGTTACAGGCCAGTCTTCAGGCACTAAATCTAAGAGAACAAGAAACAAACAGTGCTTTGTGCAGCACACTACTCACCCTGACTACTGATGTCGGCCATGAGGACATCTCTGCTTTCGACAGGCTCTCGCACTTCGGCACTATATGTGACCTGGGCTTGCAACATTGCTAGATACACACAATTGGTTAGTTCCCGTGTACAATTGCTATCGCAACTTTTAAATAAATCACATCGCATTTTGTAACTGACCACATGACTTTCCTATGCGTCGAGTACGCGTCTTTCTATATCACCAAGGTTCGCATCTGATGTATAGTGTAGTGATTGCCGGTATAAAGTCCGAAACCTGCACGTATTTAAGTTAAAACTCTTGTCTGCAATACAAGAGCTGGAACTAGCTGTATACAAGCTTTAAAATCGAGCAAGCATCAACTAGACTCTTGTCATGTGCGACACGACATTTACACCCAGCTGTGAGATATAGGTTCTCTAGCATAGTTGAACGTACTGTGCCTTCAAGTGTAGCTATTATACTGAAAGTAGAAAGGGATATGTGCACTTAGACAACGCGCGACAGTCATGGTCCGACTGTGAGATATTTAGTGATAGTGCAGCTATTGTGAGTATTACATAGTGGTATATATCTGTTTACTGTAGAGCATATGTAGTCCTGCGAAACCGGGGTTTCAAAATATTCTTTTCAATCACGCAAATCCACAAAGTTTTCCACATCCAAGTACTCGATTTTAATAAAGGATATGCTTACAGCGGTACCAAATATGCAAAGGACCGATCTTCGTCAGCTCTCGTTCATATTTAACAGACAATACTGTGATCACACCCTTCGTACCGTGTATAGGCTAGTAGATTGAGCCAACCCAATATCGAGTTTACAGCCCTCTCTATTATATGTAGTTTAAAGACAAGTGACTTATTTCGAGTGGGTACCATGATCCAATACGATAATAAATATTCAAGAAATCTAAAAATCAAGTGCTTTCGCGTGAACTTTCGAAAGAAGTACGTGTGCATTAGATTAAACTCTCTTAAAAAGGTACTTTCGTGTGGCGAGAAGTTGCACTCTAATAAATACTAGAGAGAGTGTGTGGAGGACACAGGGCAAAACCTGAAACTGTATGTATTTACACAATAATATATATACTACAATATATATATCTTTCTATTAAAAAATACGGAGGCTACAATTTTTTTTTTTTGAATTTTAAAAGTAGACCAGCGGTAAACTTAGAGGTGCAGACGAATTGCCGCCAAATGCTTTTCGAACCCCTCTCATTGCATACAGTCCATTACGCTGTGTATCAGCTAATCGCAGAAATCGATCTCAATAAACCATAATTATGTTTTATTGTATTCACCGCTTATATCGTGGCCTGCGTCATGCGAGTATTATTCCTACATTGTTGACTTTAGAGTCCTTTACTCTCTTATTCCATAGCAATGCAAAATCGTTAATATCACTTATCAATGGCCCATTAGTGTGTAGGCAAGCATGCAGTCAGAAGAAGCATTGCCTCCGTCGGCATACCGCGACAAGCTGAAGAGCGGTTCACAACTCATATCAACAGACAGCACAGGTCTAAGCGAGAAAGACGGTGCATTTATGAATGCACGAGCTGTCAAAGGTGAATCCTTCACCGACAACGAGTCGATAGAAACTGTCAAAGACTCCAGTGCACCATACACCGTCCCTGGTGTGCTGTCTTTTCTGCAGACAGAATGGATCGATCACGAGCGGCAGAAAGCCTTGTGGGCTGTCGAACGCGCAGGATATAAGGTAGGCTTACAGTGGCCCAAGATAACAGCGGGGTAAGCTCAAATAGGTTTATGTATATTGTGTTGTCAACCCCAATCTGTGCTTATAACCGCCACCGGATGCACATATACGCCTTACCAATGCAAAATCGATGAGTTCCATATTTGTTCATACCTCCTCCCCCCCCCCTCACACACACAAACACACACACACACACACACACA